GTGATGCATACTTTTCAAGTTATGAATAATGTGGAAAAATTTTATTTCTCTGCTTGTGCTAAATTACATTACCCATTGTGTAAGGTAATTGAATCACAAGCAGGGGGGAGGAATTTGTGTGGGAGTGTCTGAGTGTATTGTATGTGTTTATTGGTTGTGTTCCAAAACCCTGTGGGTGGTACTAATGTGTAAGAATGTGTACATAAGCACAATAAACCCACAGTTCTGACTGTTCACTGCTTGACCCTCAACACGGAGCTTTGTCTCGTTCTTGGGGGGATTTATTGTATGCTGTTCCAGTTTGACTGCTAGGAGTGTAAACCTATTCGTATGGTTTTTCCAATTCGGCTGTTTACAGCATTCGTATGGTTTCCTGTTTGGTGGATTGGTGTTCTGCAGTAGCTGTGCCTGCATCTCTGGAAGGGGACGATCGCCTAAATGGTTTTAACCCCTCGTGTGCTGAAACGGTCCGTTACAACTCCCATGATGCTTTGTCATTATAAATGCATTCTAAAGCCATGCAAAGCATCACAGGAGTTGTAGTTCTACAACATCTGGGGATCTACCTATTGGGCAGCCCTGTAAAAGAGCATGCTCTATTGGTTATAATGCCAGGACTAACCCTTTAAGAGGTGTCCAGTACCCATGGGAAGAACACCTAGCCAGGTTGCATGCCACATTTTGTGCAAGTGGTAACAGGATTAGAAAACAAAAGCACTTTAACTGAAAAACCTAGAAAAAAACACATTCAATTTACATGCAGTGAAAAACAGACCCCAATGGTTTGCATGGTGAAAACATCCTTGCTTAATACGGCCCTGCCACTGAGACAGCATCCACAGTTTGACTTTCGTAACAGACTTACGTGCCATATCTTCCCACCAGCATAGCTCCCAAACAGTGGCATACCTACCACGGTCTGGAGGGGTCACAGAAGCGACCAGGCCCATTACTCCAGGGGGCCGCCGTGGGTCATCAGTGATTGTTGTTGGAGGTTTATTATGATGTCTGTAATGGTTAGTGTTGGTTTAATTTGATCTCAGTTATAGTTGCTGGAGTTTTATTATGTTGTCAGGAATAGTTACTGGAGGTTTACCATGATATCAGTTATAGTTGCTGAAGGTTTACAGTGATGTCATTAATGTTTCTGGAGATTTATTATAATGTCAATAATAGTTGCTGGAGTTTTATTATGATGTCAGTAATAGTTTCTGGAGTTTTATTATGATGTCAGTAATAGTTGCTGGAGTTTTATTATGATGTCAGTAATAGTTGCTGGAGGTTTATTATGATGTCAGTAATGTTGCTGAAGTACACAAGAAATGGATCACTTTTGTGTTTCTCCTTTGGAAGTTGGAAGCAGCACGCTGACCTGTCACTTAGTACTGGGGTGCAGAGAGCTGCTAATAAACAAGAAATCCGAGGTGGGGATCATACCACCAGAGCCGATACCATCGAGCAGTCGGCCTGCTCTACGTTGTGTGAGTATATTTTATATTTTGGTTTTTTGTTTTTGCCTTATTGAGAGCACTATTGTTGCCCCCCTACTTTTGTTGTTGTTTGAGCTCCAGTTAATCCAAAAGACTGAAGATACCTACAATACAGGGAGTGCAGAATTATTAGGCAAGTTGTATTTTTGAGGATTAATTTTATTATTGAACAACAACCATGTTCTCAATGAACCCAAAAAACTAATTAATATCAAAGCTGAATATTTTTGGAAGTAGTTTTTAGTTTGTTTTTAGTTATAGCTATGTTAGGGGGATATCTGTGTGTGCAGGTGACTATTACTGTGCATAATTATTAGGCAACTTAACAAAAACAAATATATACCCATTTCAATTATTTATTATTACCAGTGAAACCAATATAACATCTCAACATTCACAAATATACATTTCTGACATTCAAAAACAAAACAAAAACAAATCAGTGACCAATATAGCCACCTTTCTTTGCAAGGACACTCAAAAGCCTGCCATCCATGGATTCTGTCAGTGTTTTGATCTGTTCACCATCAACATTGCGTGCAGCAGCAACCACAGCCTCCCAGACACTGTTCAGAGAGGTGTACTGTTTTCCCTCCTTGTAAATCTCACATTTGATGATGGACCACAGGTTCTCAATGGGGTTCAGATCAGGTGAACAAGGAGGCCATGTCATTAGATTTTCTTCTTTTATACCCTTTCTTGCCAGCCACGCTGTGGAGTACTTGGACGCGTGTGATGGAGCATTGTCCTGCATGAAAATCATGTTTTTCTTGAAGGATGCAGACTTCTTCCTGTACCACTGCTTGAAGAAGGTGTCTTCCAGGAACTGGCAGTAGGACTGGGAGTTGAACTTGACTCCATCCTCAACCCGAAAAGGCCCCACAAGCTCATCTTTGATGATACCAGCCCAAACCAGTACTCCACCTCCACCTTGCTGGCGTCTGAGTTGGACTGGAGCTCTCTGCCCTTTACCAATCCAGCCACGGGCCCATCCATCTGGCCCATCAAGACTCACTCTCATTTCATCAGTCCATAAAACCTTAGAAAAATCAGTCTTGAGATATTTCTTGGCCCAGTCTTGACGTTTCAGCTTGTGTGTCTTGTTCAGTGGTGGTCGTCTTTCAGCCTTTCTTACCTTGGCCATGTCTCTGAGTATTGCACACCTTGTGCTTTTGGGCACTCCAGTGATGTTGCAGCTCTGAAATATGGCCAAACTGGTGGCAAGTGGCATCGTGGCAGCTGCACGCTTGACTTTTCTCAGTTCATGGGCAGTTATTTTGCGCCTTGGTTTTTCCACACGCTTCTTGCGACCCTGTTGACTATTTTGAATGAAACGCTTGATTGTTCGATGATCACGCTTCAGAAGCTTTGCAATTTTAAGAGTGCTGCATCCCTCTGCAAGATATCTCACTATTTTTGACTTTTCTGAGCCTGTCAAGTCCTTCTTTGACCCATTTTGCCAAAGGAAAGGAAGTTGCCTAATAATTATGCACACCTGATATAGGGTGTTGATGTCATTAGACCACACCCCTTCTCATTACAGAGATGTACATCACCTAATATGCTTAATTGGTAGTAGGCTTTCGAGCCTATACAGCTTGGAGTAAGACAACATGCATAAAGAGGATGATGTGGTCAAAATACTCATTTGCCTAATAATTCTGCACTCCCTGTATATCCCAAGTGGGGATTGTACCACTACAAACGCTAGATACTAGAGCTGGCTATAGCTCTGCCAAATGTGAGTGCATTATTATTACCTCACCATAACCACTTTATATGATACAAATTGCATTATTAGGTCCTTTTCTCTCCCTCTCTCCGTTTCATATGACTGATTACAGATACCATTCCCAAGCTTTGAAAAACCCACATCTCTTGTTGAATATACCACAAAGACACCGTCTGGTGTGAACCTAAAGGTTTTCTTTTATACCACTGGTCTTTCTGTTAGTGACTATATTCCATTACTCCCAACGTTGCTGAAGGTTTACCATAATGTCAGCAAGTGTTCTTGGAGGTTTATTATGTTGTCAGTAATAGGCGATGGAGGTTTATTATGATGTCAGTTGTAGTTGCTATATGTTAATATGATGTCATTAATGGTTGCTGGGGGTTTATTATGATGTCAGTAATAACTGCTAAAGGTTTATTATGATGTCAGTAATGATTGTTGGAATTTCATTACAATGTCAGTAATAGCTGATAGAGGTTTATTATGATGTCAGTAATGGTTGATGGAGGATTATTATGATGTCAGTAATGGTTGATGGAGGATTATTATGATGTCAGTAATGGTTGATGGAGGATTATTATGATGTCAGTAATTTTATGGCAAGACAGGAGGCTTCATATTTGCTTTAACCTTCTTTACTGAACCTCCCAGCAGCAAAGAAATAGTTAAACATATAGAGAAAAAATCAACCAATCAGGACACATATTAGAACATAACAGTCTGTCAGGCTCCTCCCAAATCCTCTTTCTTTGCTGCTTGCCTCCCAGGTGAGTCTATTCCAATTATAGCTCTCTAATATATATATTATTGACCTACCTTATATTGTTTTTTTCCATATATTTTTTGACTCCTTTAATTAACTTTCCCTGTCTCTTTTATTTCCATGAGGTAATGGTGTGTTTATTTTATCTGTGCACTTTACCACATAAACCTTTTCACAGGTCAGCCCACTGTTCAGTCCCTTCCCTGTGCTTTTTATTTATGACTGACTGGGTTTTTTTTGTAGTAAAACCTTAATAACCTTTTCCTTGGTGAAATTATCTTCAGACCGCGCCACTGCTGTGGCTGCGGTCCGTTTTAATCACGCCCGCGATCTATTTCTGTACCGCCCGTTTTTTCGCGTCATTTGATTGACACGCAGTTTCCCGCCTTCCTCCTTCTATGCCGGCGGCCATCTTCTGTTCGGCGGTTAGTTTCCGTTCGCGCGCTTTTTCGGTGAACAGCTCTCTGCTACTGGATTGCAGCTCTGTTAGACGGTAAGTTTCATTGCCCCCTGCTGGTACATTTTGTTATTACATCTGAATATTACACAGAACACTTGCTTATATTAGCCTATTTGTGTTTTTATTTGCAGATTGCTCTCAAACTATACTATACAGCTCTATGCCTATTAGAGGGTGACCCCCTCTTGCCTTTTTGATTTAAGGGTGATCCCCTTGTGCCTCTTTATTGAGGGTGACCCCCTCGTGCCTTATCTCTCAGGGTGAACCCCTTATATATTTTATTGATTTGCACAGGTTACCCCTGTCATTATTATATTGACAGTTTAACTGCCATAATTGTGGATGAACCCCACTTAGTCCCCTTCAAGGTGACTGCATATTATCTGGGTGAACCCCAATAAGACAGCCCCTGCTTTTACTTGTTTTGTGTAAAGTTTGTTAATATATATAATATAAAAAAAAATAAAAAAAATAAAATAAAATAAAAGTTGTTTAATATACCTTTTGGTATACTGATTCTGTGGTGAACCCACTACTATTTTACTGGTCACCATGTCGGACCAACCAGAACCTGCAATATCAGCAGAATTAAAAGCCTGGCTTCAAGCTGCAATTGCAGACTCTATCCCCAAAGCCTTGGCAGCATTTCATGACCAGACAGCCACTATTGCCACCATCTCGCAGTTGTCAGACTCTGATGATTCCAGGGTCTCTGACCATGACGAAGCCCCAAGCAAACGCCCGTGGAAGGGTAACAGTGCTTCTGCTGGCAAAGCCCCAGCAAAGACAGCTAAATTGTCTCATGCCAAACCCACTTTGACCTCAGAATCTGACCTCTTAAAGGATTCAACCTCTGGCTATCACCTACGAGTGATAGACGAATACAATGCGTATCCAGAGGAGGATCTCCCAGGTGACCCTTCCCCTTCTGAATTTGTTACAGAGACTTTCCTCCTACCGCAAACCCAGTCCTTTCAGGACACTGACCCTATGTCCACTACTAATTTAGACAATACTAAGGATGATATCCTACTTGATACCAATGGTTGTCCTCTATTTGACCCACGCTGCATCAGACACCCTCGTTCAGCGGAATGGACACCCCCTGATCACATTGCAAAATATTGCATATTATGGCTTTGTAAACCCTTAGAAAAGGAAATTAGGGCCAAATTAAGAGCAGAATGTCCACGGCCTATGATCCCTGATAAGGTGGCTGTCACCCCTGAACTTGACCCACTCCTGGTCACTTTTCTAACTAAGACGGGTAAAGATCCCCGCAAAGGAATCGAAGTTGGCTTAAAAGCCACCCAGGACAGGCTGATGGATATAGCAGGCCCGCTTATCCCGATTTTTATAATTGATGATGAGACGCTAGCAGGAGGCAATTTTGACGCACACATGGTGCGTGAATGGGCACAAAGAGCGTTATGCCTGTTAGGCAACGCCAATGTAGCTATTTCCGTTGAACGGCGTAAAGCCGTGTTACATAAAATTGATGCCAAATTGGCAGAACTAGGCACCAAAGAACTTGGTCCAGAGGTTAACGGACTATTATTCGGGGACAGGTTCATACGAGACCTGAATAAACACGTATCCGTGTTTACCTCCCTTAACAAGGCACAATGGAACCTTCGCAGGGTGTTCAGACCCCAGCGTTTTTCCGGGAGAGCTGGTCGCTATAGGGGCCGAACGACTGGCAGAGCTGCCTTCACAGGCTACAGGCCTCAACCAGCAGACTCATGGAATTCGGGCAATACCCGTTTCTACCACAAGCAGTTCTTTCCCTCTAGACGTTCCATCAGAGGACGTGGATATGCTTCCCTCTTATTCTCAAGTTCCTATTGCAGGTCGGCTAACCCTTTTTTTCCAACAGTGGTCTCTATTAACTCAGGATCCATGGATCCTTCAAACTGTATCTGGTTTCCATATAGATTTTGCAAACGACCCTCTACAAGAGTTCCCCCCTCCACCTCTACACATGTCTCAAGAGGACAATGCGACTTTGGAGGCCGTGCTCAACGACCTTGTCGCCAAGGGCGCTACAGAACGTTCTCGATCCCCTCACAGATTCATAAGCAACATATTTCTGGTCCGAAAACAGTCAGGGGACTTTCGACCAGTTATCAACCTGAAAGACCTAAACACTTTTATTGTTTACCAACATTTCAAAATGGAGGGTATCCACCTCCTTCAAGACCTACTCTGCGAGGGAGACTGGTTCTCCCGTTTAGACTTGACAGATGCTTACCTCACGGTTCCTATAACACCGGCCCATCGCTGTTTCCTACAGTTCAGATGGCATCAAGACTTATGGCAGTTCACATGCCTTCCCTTCGGACTCTGTTCCGCACCCTGGTGTTTCACCAAGCTGATGAAACCGGTCATGGCCTTGCTACGCTCCCAAGGGATTCGCTCCATCATATATCTGGACGATATCCTCCTTATGGCTCGGGACCCAGGCACTCTACGCCTCCATACAGACATGACCACAGCTCTGTTACAAAACTTGGGGTTCGTGATCAATGTCCAAAAATCCATCCTCACCCCATCTCAGGTGGTTCAATTCCTAGGATTCCAAATAGATTCCGTTTTGGCTGTCCTACAACTCCCTTCAGTAAAGATCAAGAACATCAAAAAAGACATCAGAAAAATTCTAGCCTCTTCGACTATCCGCCTTCGCGACTTAGCTCGCATAATCAGACTACTCTCCGCCTCAATTCAGGAGATCTTCCCAGCTCCTTTACATTACCGAGCAATGCAATGTCTGAAGACTCGCTCGTTACGTCACTCTGCATCTTACGATCAACAGATCTCCTTGACAGACAAAGTCCGACTCGAATTGAACTGGTGGCTACACCATATGGAGGCATGGAATGGGAGAGCGATCTTTGGATCACAGCCAGATTACATCCTAGAATCAGATGCCAGTCTGCTGGGCTGGGGTGCATCATGCGTAAATCTCTCTACCGGAGGCTCTTGGTCCCCATCAGAACGAGCATTGCACATCAATTGCCTCGAGTTGATTGCCGGGACCTTTGCGATTCGCAGTTTCGCAAAGGACTCCTACAATTGTTCCCTAGTACTGAGAATGGACAACATCTCAGCTGTTCAATACGTGAATCGTTTAGGGGGATCCCGTTCCAAAATGCTCTCAGACCTCACAAAAGAACTATACCAGGAACATCTCCCTGCGAGCAGAGTATCTACCGGGTTCAGACAACTTAGTCGCAGATTGGTTCTCTCGACACTGGAGAGACTCCAGCGACTGGCAATTGGACCCACACGTTTTTTACTGTCTCCATCTTCTTCGGGGTCCATTCAATATCAACCTATTTGCGTCTCGTCTGAACCGACAGACGGACACTTTTTTCAGTTGGTTGCCGGATCCGACCTCTCTGGCAGTAGACGCCTTCCTTCAATCTTGGCCAATGACCGGCGCTTATGCCTTCCCTCCGTTCTCCATGATCCTTCGCACTCTCCATCATCTCAGGACTCAGGGGACCACAATAACACTGCTGACCCCTTTGTGGCGTACCCAGCCATGGTTCCCCAATCTCTTGGAGATGTCGGTGAATTATCCACTACTGCTACCTGCCACGCACGATCTTCTCAAAGATCCCGCAGGCAATTTTCACCCTCTTGCGTTGCAGGGTCATCTCCAGCTAGTGGCCTGGACTGTTTCAGGGGATCCTGGAATGCCGCAGGACTTTCGGAGTCTGCTAGAGCACTCTTATGGGACTCATGGGCCCCCGGGACTAGACGCTCTTACCTCTCAGCCTGGCGAGTTTGGCATCGCTGGTGCTTGGAAAGGTGTATTGATCCCGTTTCAGCTTCTTTGATTAACGTCATGAACTTTTTGTCCTCTCTTTTTGATCAAGGTAAATCCTACAGATCCATTAATGTGTTTCGTTCAGCAATTTCAGCAGCTCATGGCCCCATTGATAATACAGCAATAGGTAAACACCCCTCCATCTGTAGACTGTTGCGTGGCATTCGTCTTGCTCGACCTCCTGTCCCAAAATATTCTAATTTTTGGGATGTTGCTCTTGTTTTGTCCTTCCTAGAGACTTGGCCACCCAATGAAGCACTCTCTTTACGACAACTGTCGGCCAAATTAGCTTTGCTCCTCTGCTTGGTTTCTTTTAGGAGAGTCTCTGATATTCAAGCATTTGACTTTCACGCTATTGAATTCACGCCCCAAGGTATATGTTTCAACATTTCTCGCCGCACTAAAACGAATTCCTTAACGATTACTTACCCTTATTTTTCCGACAGACCATCGCTTTACGTTGCTCGTTGTGTCCAACACTACGACGCCTCTACATCACCTCTACGTCCCCCTACGGGCCCCCTGTTTATCTCATATGTGCGACCACACAAGCCAGTGTCTTGTCCCACGATTGCCCGCTGGATTAAATGGCTTCTAGATTCAGCGGGCATAGATTCATCTTTTGGCGCTCATTCTGTCAGAGGTGCTCCTGCCTCTTCTGCCTTTATAGCTGGGGGATCCCTTGCAGACATCCTAAAATGCACTGATTGGTCTAGAGAATCTACCTTCCGTACCTTCTATTTTCGACAATCGTCCCATGCTTCTTTTTCTTTGGTTTCCACGCTTTAAAACAGCAAATATGAAGCCTCCTGTCTTGCCATAAAATTCGGGATTATTCTAGCTTTAGTGACTGAATAATCTAAATTTTATTAAAGACAGGAGGCGAATATTTTCCCACCCTATTGATCTCCCACCCAGATTTTTTTTCAGATCACATGTACTCTTAAAATGTTTTCTAGGTTTCTTGTGAGACTTTATATTTATCTGACTTTATCTGACGGTGCTTATCAATCTGCCTGGTTCTGATTATTTTAAATTTTGCAATAGTTATACTCGTAATATCCAGGGGGTAGATCTGTAAATGTAGATATCTTGCGGACACCCAGTCCAAGTGACCATACTTTCACGATCTTTCTCTGTCTTTTAGTGTGAAGTTTCTCTACATGAGCCACGAAGACTACGTTCCTTTGGTCTCTAGTATCGGCTGCGTTCTGGTTTACATGGTTGATGGATTACTCAAGTTTACACGGTTGACTACACTTATGATCGGCTGCATCAGAAAGAGGATTTGGGAGGAGCCTGACAGACTGTTATGTTCTAATATGTGTCCTGATTGGTTGATTTTTTCTCTATATGTTTAACTATTTCTTTGCTGCTGGGAGGTTCAGTAAAGAAGGTTAAAGCAAATATTCGCCTCCTGTCTTTAATAAAATTTAGATTATTCAGTCACTAAAGCTAGAATAATCCCGAATTTTTGCTGGAGATTTATTACCATGTCAGTTATAGTGGCTGGAGGTTGATTATGATGTCAACAATGTTGCTGGAGGTTTATTATGACGACTATAAGATCTGCCAGAGGTTAATTATCAAGTAATAGTTGATGGAGGTTTATTATGATGTCAGTAATAGTTGCTGTATGTTTGTTATGATGTCAGAAGTACATGCTAGAGGTAAATTATAATGTAAGTAATAGTTGAAGGATATGTATGATGATGTCAGTAATAGTTGGTGGAGGTTTATTATAATGTCAGTAATGATTGCTGAAGGTTTATTATGATGTCATTAATAGTTGATGGAGGTTTATTATGATGTCAGTAAAAATTGCTCTAGGTTCATATTCATGTCAATAATAGTTGTTGGAGGTTTATTATGATGTCAGTAATAGTAGCTGTATGTTTGTTATGATGTAAAATTTGCTGTAGGTTTATGGTGATGCCAACAATAATTGATGGAGGTTCATTATTATGTCAGTAATGGCTGCTAGAGGTATATTATGATGTCAGTTATAGTTGCTGAAGGTGTATTATGAATTCAGTGATAGTTGCTGTTGGTTTATTATGATGTCAGTTATAGTTGCTGGA